TGTTTACTTAAGTAATTGAAATGTTGTAATCATTATTGATTTTCTTTTCATGTTTAAACCCATCAAATGTCTTTATAGAAAGAACTAAGCTGCTGGAGAAATTGTTTCTTAAGTTATGTATGTTTTTTATTTCAATTTGTATTTTTATTTTGAATAAATAAATAGAAATTTTGTAATTTTTGTTCTTTTATTTAGCGCTGGGATAGGAAACCCAAAAAATACCTCAAATAAAAAAAAAAACAAAAAAGACCACATTCAAATTTTTCCGCCACACGAGAAGTGCAGGAGGCTGACGATAGATGGTGCTAGTGGTTATATATATCATTTCTTAAATTTTGTATGAAGTTGTCGTTCTTCTCCGATAGGAGTATTAGTGTTCTGTGGTATGTATTAAGTATAACTTTCTTGCACAAGCTCTTAAGTTTTAAAATTGACTGTCGGTCTCTCTTACTTGATATCGATATCACTGTTCCAAGAATTAGTGCACGTCTACATAACTACAAACCGTTTCATATTAAAAAGAGTCGTAATGAATATGGCAGAAACACACCTTTATCATCCTTGTTGAATGCATTCAATTCAACATTTCAAAATTGTGATGTGGATATTCATTTTGATAGCTTAAATGTTTTAAAGAGGAAGGTACTACACATTACACAGCCAAATAATTTTTTCATTTTAAAAGTTTTTGTACTTCCTCTCTTTTTTTTTCCATTTATACATTATATAAGATAGGTTTTTTTTTATTGTTCTAATTTTATTATTTTATTGTAGTGATAGTTTTATAGGTTACTGTTCTCCTTAAAGGAAGTCGTTTATTATATGTTATGTTTACCTTTAATTTAAATGCATATATACAATTTTTTTAAGTGCACCTCATAATAATTGTTTCTATATGTATTTAGTTGGTAAGCCTTATTAAATAAATAAATAAATCATCATTAAATTTTAATACGTATTTATTTGTAAATAGGGTGCAACTTGGCATTTTCTAAATAATTTGCATGCGAAATTCGAAAACGTTTGTAACGTCAAAACACATCTCGTGTTGACATTTATACGTGTGAATTGACGTGTTATAGTTCGGTCGTTCAGAGAATGCGTTCCTGACACGTCGCGATTGAACTGACGACGTAACTTTGTAATGGCGTTGCAGTTACGATAAAAATATTTTTGCTGGTTGTTTACCGTTTTAACAATTGATGAGCATTAAAACAACATTATTATATCAATAATCAATGAATGTTATAATTTTGTGCCAAACTGAGTGTCAAATAACTTGGTAAACAATATTTTTCTAAGTCTATACTGCGCTATTACAAGGTTATATCAGCGCTTTATATTTGTAGTGCTGTGCTAACAACAACAGGCAATAACAGCATCATAATCTATTCTTATACAGTTATACTTTATAAAATAATACGTTTTCTTTTTCTTTTTAAGAATTTGAAAATAATGGACTATAAGATAACTTTTATTAAATATAAAAATAAAACTACGACCAAACCGAACGCGTGAAAGAAAGTAGCATTTTTATATTTAGGTTGAAAATGGTAACCCCAAATGCAAAATACGACTTTGTGGAGAACGCGTTACTGGCATTTTTTTTTTTTTTTTTTTTTTTTTTTTATAGGATAGGGTGACAAACGAGCACACAGTCCACCTGATGGTAAGTGGTTGCTGCGGCCCATAGACATCTACATCTATCTTCCATTACAAATCAAAATGCAGATGCGTTGTCACCCGTGAGGACTGAGATGGAATGCCTCATTTCCAGTAAAAAAGGGTCTCCGGTTCTCTACACTCACCATACGAAATACAGCAGCATTAAGCTACTATTTCACGCTGGTATTCTGTGAGAGCGTGGTCCTTCCCCGGTCGAGCCGACCCATTCGTGCTACAACTATACTACTAATATAATTGCAGCATGGCTCTACCACGTAAATTGGCATTTCAATCAAAAACCACAAATAACTACCACGAGGAAATGACTACCACTACATTTAAAGAGTGGTTCCAGAACATGCTTTTGCCCAGCCTACCAAAGCCTTCTGTAATATTCATGGATAATGCCTCCTATCACTCGGTTCAAATACAGAAACCACCTACCCAAGCTAATAAAAAAGAAGAAATGGTGGCTTGGTTACAAGCAAAAGGCATTGACGCAAATATGCAGATGCTAAAACCAGAGCTAATTAAATTAGTTAAAGAAAATAAAGCGGCAAATGTGCGATACGAAATCGATGAACTGGCTCTGGAGTACGGTCATCGCGTTCTAAGAATTCCACCGTATCATTGCCAATATAACGCGATTGAGCTAATCTGGGTTCAAATAAAAGGTTATGCCGCCCGCCACAATACTTCCCTGCCATTCAGCACGAAAAAGATGATGACCCTATTAAAAGAAGCCTGCGTGGAAGTCACAAGAGATGACTGGGCAAAGGTTGTTGAGAAGACTAAAAACCTGATTGTGGAACATTTTGACCGAGATATCAGGATTGATTCTGTTATTGATAATAATATAATTATACACGTAGGCGAAGATGATGATGAAGACACCACCTCCTCAGCGAATCGGAGTCTGATTAATATTCTGTAGGCACATTCAATTCAATGTACTTTATTGCATAGAAATACAGATTGTAACTTTGTAACAAAGAATAAATAAAACAATTTTATTATATTAATATTACCTTTTTTTGGTTTCCACTTAAATTACTAAAATATAAATTTTAAATGATTCCGCCAATTTAAAACATTTTGGAGGAACGGTAACGAACTCAGTGTTATGTTGTGCCCATCACTAGTCGTGACTAACTGATAGGTGTCAGGAACGCATTCTCTGAACGGCCGAACTATAGTGACATTTTAGTGGCTACGCGGGCTCCGCCCACTCCCACGTTCTATTATGTTGTATGTATCATAGTATTCTATGCAACAAAGCCTACACAAGAAAAATTCATTTATTGTGCACAACACAGTCCAATTACATATTATAAATTCAACAATTGTCAACACTTCTACATACATATAACTTACCTAACAAACCTTCCAAGAACCGAACCAACCGGTCTGATTTAAAATTAAATATTTTTTCTTTTCAATTCGTGTTGCCTTCGTCTACCACCTGGCGTTTATTGAAAAGCTTCCCCAACTTTTTTTGATAAGTCACAGGTATAGCGAGCATACAACCCGTCGTTTTTAATTTAAGACAGGTTATTACGGACATTCACCTCACTGCGCAATATTTTGATTATTCGGAATGAAATGTGCCTCAATTATATGTACTGGTGACCTTTTTACCATCAGGAAAAAAATAGGGTGTAACATGTGAACGGAATAGAAGCCTATGTGTGCAGTGTTAATTTACAAAAAAAATTGAATTAAATAAATAAATTAATAAAATCTATCTATTATATATTATTCTATTTATTATATATAAGATTTTTATTATATTAGTTTTTTTATTTATTTATTTATTAAATTCAGTATTTTTGTTTAAATTTTTTGTAAAAAATCAGTTCCGTAGGCTCTGTTCACAAGTTACACCTTATTTTTTTCCAGACGGTAAAAAAAGGTCATGCGGTATAATCTTCACAAATAAATATAATCTAAGTGTCTGTTTGTATTGTCATAATAATACTGCTTAATAAATAAATATATAATAATAATAATAATTACAAACACAGAATACCAGCGTAAAATAGAGTCTATCTATCGAGGATAGATGTAGATATGTCTATGGGCCGCAGCAACCACTTACCATCGGGTGAACTGTAGGTGTATATATATAATAACAATAATAAAAAATACTGCCTTTTACGTTTACGGGACTTTCACTGGCAAATAGCTGATGTTATAAGGTCAAAACCTAGTCTACTTTTTTTTAAGAATTAGGGTTTCACGCAAAAAAAATTATACCCTAAATTACACGCAGCCGAAGTCGCGGGGAAAAGCTAGCCTACACAAATAAATAAACTTGAAGTGTCTGTTTGTAATGTCAAATTAACAGCTTTTTACTGAATGCAAATGAGAGTATTAACGGTATTTATTTAAAAAAAAACACAATTTACAAAAGAATTAGGCTTCCGCGAAGTCGCAGGGAACAGCTAGTAGATATAATAAGATTTCGATACGCGTTAGAGCCAAATATCAGTGCTGGTATTGCCGTGCTCCGGTCTGAAGTATTGGAACCAGTTTAATTAGAGGCCAGCTAAAAATGGAATGCCTCACAGGTATTTCCACCTTAGTCCTTAGAGATGGTGACAACGCATCTTACGCCTTCTTTCTTTGAACTGTACTTAATTTTTTGGCTGTATTCATGGACTTCAATAGCGACGTACGATCACGTGGACTGTCGGTTCGTTTGTCACTTAATTTTTATTACAATAAGTGGTAAAATTAAAGAAAAACTTGTACAACCAACTTCAATATAAATAAAATGAGAACATCATCAATTTATTCTAATTCAATTAAATAATGTCCTCCAAACCCAATTTCGGTCACGGCGGCCAGCTTCAACGGATATTAGCCAACGGTGCAGGATAGGATTATAGTGTCCAAGTATATGCGCAAGCACAGGTGCACTCTCTATTCCCTCACTCTCATAATCCTATGGGACGGTAAATCGACATGACCGGAGAGAACATCAGGCGCAGGACCAACAGCTTCCTAACTCCGGGCAGCTACTGAGAATTTTTTGATGGAAAAACTCAATATTTTGTTTTTTTGGCCCGACCCAGGATTCGAACCCAGAACCTTATGATCAGCAGCCGCAATACTACAACCGCTAGACCAACGAGGCAGTCAATCAAATACACATTATTTAAGAATTACTCAAAAACTACTTATCAGATCTTGATGAAATTTATATGGGACCACAAGAGCATTCAGATAAAAAAGAATTATTAAAATCGGTTCCAAAGATATGAAAAAACGCAGTCGAATTGAATACCTCCTTCTTTATGAAGTCGGTTGAAACTATATAATATCGTCAACAGGTAAGTTGGGTAATCACGCTGTTCTCCTTGCGGCCGTGGGCGCTTATCACGTCGCGTGCTGTGGCGGGGCTGGCGTGCGCCGGCTGTTATGTTGTGGCACCACTCTACCTGAAGGAGGTAAGTAAATTCACAGCTTTTATTAGTCCCGCTGGGCACAGGCTTCCTCATATTTCTGAGAGAATTTTAGGGCAGAGAAATATTCACTGCACTGCCCCAATGGGTGTTGATGGACTTCGAAGTATATTTTATTTCTCATTTCCTGACGATGTTATCCTTCACCACCGACCAGGTGGTAAATGAGCACTTAAAATGCAATTAACAGTTCCATTGGCGCCGGTGGGGATCGAACCTGAGTTGCTCGCGTATTGTTAAATTTGTGACGAGTGCTTAGCAGTTAAGATACCACAACTCTTAAAAGAGGTGAACAACGTATATTCAACAAAAAAGAGGTCAACTGGTGAATGAATTTGATGTATTAATAAAATACAATTTTCATGGTGGTAAGCGACGCGCATGGTAGGAGGATATAATGATGTGCAGAGTTTAGTAGACTCAAACACCGTGTCGGTATTTACTTATGTATTCTACTCTAGTTCCCAAATTAAAGTATACACAAAACTCGAGTCAATATTTTTTTTAATATTCGAGCAATCATAATACTCGAATACCACTCTGTTATTGCCTATAAACTTCGTGAAATATAGTTTTAATAGCAGGTTTCTTCGAAAATGACACCGTAATTCACGAATTAATATTTTATTTTTGATGGTATTCTTGGAAGTGGGAGACATTAGGGTACTCAAATTCAATATAATGTGTACCGCAAATAAATTCTGTAATTTTTTTAATTATTATCGGAAAGACGCTGCTGCCTTAGCCTGAGTTCTATTATAAATTTCAAAAAATATATAAAATTCGAAAAAAAATGTAAATTGTATTTCATAAACAATATTATGAGAAAGGAACCGAACGTTTGGTCAGCCGGTCAAGCGCTATCAAATCACTGCTTCAAACATGAAGTTTTTGGTTTATTGATTGGCACAAAGCTTCCTGACCGCTTAATGTACATGGAGGATTTTGTGCACTTGACTCATACCGATGTCTAAGCTTGTCCGAATCTGCTAATGAGTCACCCTTTTATCAGTCTCTATCATACGCCGCACAATACTGAAGTTAACTTCAGTCGTCGCCGTTTGTGCGACCACGAACAGAGGCTTGAAATGGGACTTCATCGTGAAAGGCTCGAAGTCTATCATAACTTTCTTGTTGACTTAAATGACGTCGAAAATCATAAAAAATTATTGTACGAAACTTCCCGCGTTAAATTCATGCTGGCGTGACACAGACAATTTACAATTTGCCGCCAAACGTATCATCACTCTCATCATCATTCTTACAAATCCACTGCTGAACATAGGCCTCCCCAAGGTATGCCACAAAGCACGATCCTCCTTCCGCATGTCTTACTCCCGTCCACCACATTTCTTTGCGATAAACTTAAAAATGAGGATATCCGCAAAGTGACCACAAGCCCAACGGATTACTAGCAATGCCCTATAGCAACCCAACCGTTAAAAAGATTCTCATCACCCACCCCAGGCGACCCCCCAAATCGTATACAAATGACAAATTAATAAAACACATGGGCAAAGTTGTTGTTTTTATTATTCGCTCGTGAGCAGGCAAAGGAACTAAGCCATACAGCCTACATATGCAAAGAGTTTCATTTTCGAAATTTGAACTCATTTTTTTTTTATTATATCTTTATAAGTGGCCAGTTCTAAAAACTTTCAGTGTCGCCCTTGTAATTTTTTAATATAAGCGATATATCGGTTACCGAGCAGAGGTTAAGACTAATAAGTACCTTTGTGTTGTTATATGTTATCAAGGCGCTATAATTGCTTTAACCAGCGAATTGGAAAGCACCGTATTATGGGTAAGCGAAAATAAATAAAGATTCAATTTTCAACAGATAGCGTCGGACAATGTCAGAGGGGCGATGGGATCGCTGTTCATCCTATCACAGAACCTGGGCTACTTGATTGTATACGTGGCTGGTGATGTGTTCTCGTTTGGGGCAGTGATGTGGATGTGCACTGCTGTTCCCGTTCTGCATCTGATCGCGTTCCTCGCCATGCCTGAGACGCCAGTTTTCCTCGTCAAGCAGGGAAAGTTTAAGGTATGTGCTGGTTTCAACCACCATTCTATCGATTATACAAACTACTTGTTACTAGTCATAAAAGTTGATTTAACGGTTTGATGGAGATGGAGTAGCCATAAGCGCAATTCGATCAGCGAGCAGTAGAAGGTTCTACGCTTTTTTTCCGATGGATAAGTTTCATATCTGCCGAAGAGTTCACTAACATAGCTTTTCCCGTTTGTGACATAAGAAGCAATGAAGACGACGACGAATTGAGAATGCGCTTTGACAAACGTCACACGTCGAACGTCTTATCAGAGTGAGTAACGATTTGTAAAGCTCGGCAAACTGGAAGCTTGTTTTCAACAACTTCATATTATTAAATAAAACAAATTTTACTGATTTTATTTAGTTAAATTTAATTTATTTTGTTTATTTTTATAGCCGTAGCACTCAAATTCAAAATAAGTAAAGTTGATTAAATTTAACAAAAAAAAAACCGATAAATTAGTTTTGTTCAATATCAAGTACCTACTCGTAAAAATATATTATTGGTTTACTTTATCTGGCTTACTTATAACAATATTGTGGAAAAAATAAGTTATGTACCGTTTTCTACTTAATTCATTATTATTTTTTAATTTACGAGACTACAATGACTTCTTAGTGTTGCTACATTTTGAATGATTTTATATATTGTATCAAACAATCGAAATGAACGGTGAAATCGTATAACATATTCTAAAAAAAATTTATGAAAAAAAAATGGCAGAATGAAAACGCAATAAGTGTGAGTTAAATAAAATGGTAATTATAATCATAGTTGTGGGACAAACGAACCATCATAATTATTACGAGAACTACTTATGTAAGCAGACTTACAGCAGTATATTCTATGTAACAAATTAATTATTTCACGCCCACAATGAAGGCCAATAATCTTCCGCTCACCAGATGTCGCTAGTTGACACTAAGGTGACTTTTTTTGTCACACAATATCATTCAATCGAGAAGGTAATATTAAATATGTATATCTGTGGTTTAGTTTTATAATTTTAATCTAACCAATATAAAATATAACTAATAGTACCGAAAAAAACATTGACATTTACATTTTTCGAACAAATTAACTTCTCCGCTATGAAAGCTATCAAAGATTACCCCTACACCTAATTTTTAAGTGATCGTGGATCACCCGTTCGCCCTTTTTTTTTTTTTGTACATGGGGAAATGCCTACGCATACCCGCCTCGCGGGGGGCAAGGACGGGTTATGTCGGACTCGCACCGACTAAAACCCCATGGTGTTCCACCTTTGTCGCTATTGGCAGGGCCACGGGAACGCTTTCGCACACATCCGCAGCCCCACCAGCGCCTGCCGTCCCATGGCAGCACCTCCTCGGGAGCGGAATGTTCCACCCCGTACTCCTTCACAGGTAAGGCGCACCAGAACACATGGCGCGCCTTCCTTCTCGGCCTCTAATTACATCTGCGCAACGGACGCCCCCGCGTCCAATGCAAGAAGGCCATGGGGCCAGGAAAAACAAGCACTTAGAAGTACAAGCCTTCCCGACCCCAGCGGCGGATCTGGTCTATGGCTCCGCCACCAACCAAGATTCGGCTGCGGAGGGTAGGGAGAGCGGCGCCTCGCAATACCGACAATCCTCTCCCCCCGCAGCCCCACCACCACCGCATCAACGGTGCGGCCCCGTTTGAGTCGCGGAGGATAGGGCGAGTGGCGCATCGCCATACCAACACTCCTCTTCCTCCGCGACTCCACCTCGGCTGCAGCGGTAGGTGGGGAGGACACACCTCTCACCGCAGTCCACCAACACACATCCGAAGTGGGCTCCCCAAGCCCACTCGGAGTGGCGACCTCGGGCCGGCCCTCCACCTTGGACCAGCCATATGGGTTCCTCTTTGTTTCGCCGTGGGTGACCAAGTCACGGCTTCTAAGCCCCCCCGCCACGACAAGGCGGGAACCCGTTCGGGGGGGGCCCGTTCGCCCTCATTACTGCAATATGCAATGAGAAATCATCAATATTTAAATATATATAATAACATTTCATTAATAATAATACATATTAACTTTTCAAACATCTGGAACTAAAAGAATCGCACATGTTTTTTTTTTCATAGAAGAGGGGCTCGCAAACGAGCATGGGGCTCACCTGGTTCTAAGTGACTAATGCCGCCCATGGACACCCGCAACCGCGTTGCCTGCCTTTTAGAAAGGAGTAAGCTCTTTTCCTGAATGTCCCAAAGTCGTATCGGTCTGGAAAAATCGCCGGTGGTAAACTATTCCACCGATAAGTTGTACGAAGAAGAAAACTCTTAGTAAAACGCACAGTGGTGGACTGCCAAGCATCCAGATGGTGACCATGGTATCGTAAATTTTGACGCGATGTGCTTTCGTGAAATTTGGCGGCTGGAATTAATCCGAACAATTCCTCAGAGCACTCCCCATGGTAGATGCGATAGAAAATGCAAAGGGTTGCAACATCACTACGCAGCGTCAGTGAATCGAGCCTATAAGAAAAAACTTGGTCGTCGAAGATTCGAACCGTTCTACGCTGGATTCGGTCAAGTGGAAGGAGCCTGCACTGTGATGCCCCGGCCCAGAGATAAGAACCGTATTCCATGTGAGGCCGAACCTGCGCTTTGTAAGTTGCAAGCGGTGTGCCGGCATGAAATATTGTCTCGCTCTGCTGAGCGGGCCAAGCTTTTTAGAGGCCAATTTGACCTTTCCTTCCAAGTGACCACGAAACTACACGCTATTCGATATGTCAGCGCCGAGGATTCTGATGCTAGCTGAGGCAGCAAGGGAAGTGCCTCGAAACAGGAGACACGACAATGGGGTTCTTTTCGCGGTAACGGTAACGGTAACGGTAGCGGTAAACGCACAAACATGTGTCTTCTGGGAATTTGAACTGGACTAGATTTAGTCGTCCTAGATTTAGTCACGTTATAGATGTGCAATTTATATATTTAAAAAATATTTTCCACTCTCTCCACTCTATTCGCATAGAATAGAGAATTGACAGCCTCATAAGCGTGACTGATACGGGTCCGCAATCTTGACATGGTCAAAATCAGTTATTGGGTTTTCTGTCGATAAATAAACGCCCCTCATAAACCCATTGATTTTGCGCCTCTCTCCGGTCGTGCGGCACGACCAAGACGGCCGAGAGACACACACTACTTTTTTAAACCATCTAACTATGAGATTGGTAGAATGGAGCACGGAACACAGGAAATTCTCTTATCTAATAATGAGATTAGGTCTCTTAAAACGTAGTAGCTAATTCGTGTCTATGTTAACGCTTATAAATTCCCTAAAGTATTTCCTTTCTCTTTTTATTTTCACTATCATTCAGGGAATTTAACCTAAACACTAAAAAATACCCTAATACGTAATGTAAGACTTAAAAAGATATACATACCAAAGTTATAGAATAAAATACGTAATTATAATGCTGGTGACTAACGTGACAATAAAAATATGAGTTTTCTCACATAAAACAAATGACTGTAGCGCATCGTGCTTACTTCATAAAAATGTTTACTTTACTAATGCTGAAGTACCGAATTGACAAGAAAAAACAAGTCACTTACTTAAGCAAACAGACCGTATCTAATTTGTCACAAAAGTTGTAAAAACAAGTAAGTCTTCCGCAAATATTTATATGTGATTCAGCTACCTCTGGTTTACGAAAGTATTTTTTAAAACGATGTTAGGTACTTAGTTTCTGTCCTTCCGTTAGTTTTGTTTGCAATCATGAATTGTTGGCTGTAGGCTGAACTTTTTCTGTTTTTGTACATGTATTTTAAGAATATCAATCACAATTTCTGATTATAATAAGCAGCTTAATGCTGCTGTATTTCGTATGGTGAGTGTAGAGAACCGAAGACCATTTTTACTGGAAACGGTACATTCCATCTTAGTTCTCAGGGGTGACAACGCATTTGCATTTTGATTCTTAATTGGGGATAAATGTGGATTTCTATGGGCCACAGCATCCACATACCATCAGGTGGACTGTGTGCTTGTTTGTCACCCAACGCTATAAACAAATTAGCTTAACAGTCCACATGGTCGTAAAAGGCTATTGCAGTCTAATAAATCTTTTAAAATGTCACTTCAACTTAAATTAATTTCGGACACAGGCTCTGACTCGTTAAGTGCGTATCCGTTATTACCGTTTGATCATCGTAGCGGTGTAAATTTCATTCGTCCAGTTTTTCACCATCATGCTGCTATTTAAAGTTGATAGTATACCAGTGGGAACCAGTGTGCTTTCCTGGTCATGCTGTAATGGTGGGACTATGTATGAAATTAAACTCACAGTTTATTAACTCTCTATTGATTTGGAGGAGACTTATATATAGAAATTGTGACGTAGGTACATAGGTAGGGGTTAGGGTTTGTGTTACGTGGTTCCAGGTAGAGACACATGAATGGTGTCTTCTCCTATAAATATAATATGGTATTACTGAACTAAATATATATTATTTCTACTCCTTTCTGTTTCCTTTCTGTTGAGTGATGATATCATTTAATATTCCAGTTGCTTTGTATTATTTTTGTTTGTGCAGCCTCAATATACCACCAACGCATTTGTTTTAGACCTATATTTAGCAGGATAAAAAAGACTGACAAAAGATAAACTACAGCCTATATAGTAGTTAAAGTTACAGTAGTTAAAGTAACAGCCTATATGCGTCCCACTGCTGGGCACAGGCCTCAAATTCTGAGAGGGTTTTAGGGCAAGCAAATGTCCGCCGCGCTGCCCCAATGCGTATTGGCGAACTTCACATGTCTTCGATTTTTTTTCTTATTTCTCAAACATATAGGTTTCCTCACGATGTTTCACCCCAGAGCACGAGGTAAAAGAGCACTTAAAATTGCAATTAGCAATTTCATGCCGGCGGTGATCGAACCCGGGTTGTTAGCGTACTGTGAAATTTACAGCAAGTGCTAAGCCCCTAAGCTACTTTATTATTATATTGTTATTTATTTATAACGAAATGTTTACAAAGTCATTATCATAGTTTTGATGTTAACCTGTGTAAACATAAATTCATTTCAGTTTTTCAATACACCAGTGGCATTGACATTGGGTACACAATATCACAATATAATAATTATAATCTATAGGTAGTATTTACATATATCCTTATCACATACACAACGTAGTAAGGATAAATATGATTTCTATTACATCGAGATCTATTACGTCGATAAATAAGATTTCTGTTCACAGGAAGCGCGGACAGCGTTGGCTTGGTTACGAAAAACAAGCGTTGAAGATAAAAACCTGGAGGAAGCGGTGCAGCAACTCGAACGAGAGGAAGAGTTAGCCAAGTCTATGCAAAAGGCTAGCTGGAAGAGCATATGTACGTTTCAACGCTATAATTTTACTTTGAACCATCGATATATATGTACTACGCACTAGATTTCGCATTCCGAACACTCACTATGTTCAATTGAACTGTATTGCAATCCGTAGGTATACCTGTTATTGTGGCTTCGACATTCATGCAGTGCGGAGTGGCGCTAATAATAAGTTTATATTAAATTAGCACGTATGCAAAATAAACTAAAATAAAAAATGTACTCGATTAACAATACAACTGCGCATGCGCGACTACATCTACTGTTTCCCGCGCATGCCCGGATACAGAGTAGTGCACATTTTTTGTTTGGAATAGCTTCTCTACTACATAGTACTTAAAAAGACCGATTTACACTTCGACAAGTACAGTAGCGAGTTTATTTACAGGCACAGATTACCCTCTAATCTGTGGTTACAGGGCAGTTGATAGTAAATGATTAAGTGGGCAGTAGCGTTCAAACAATGTCTTCGTGGCGAGTTTAGTTATGGACATTAGTTCATAGAATTCGTCGGAGTATGACGTTTGAAGACTACAGAATTTTTCTGGTTTTTGTTTAAGACGGTTCTAGGATTACGTCAAGAGTTAAATGATCCAGTCAGAGAAGTATTAATGGTTATTGTTAAAGAAGGTTTTAAGAATTTTCATGAGGTTCTCGAGTTAATTTTACAATTTGAACTTCTACTATTATATGAACATTCGAGTTCTAAATACTCCTGTACAAATTTATACGTGATATCCTCCGTCCATTTTATTATTAAAACTCAATATAAAACGTATAAATATTCAATAAACAATATCGTACAAACTTTGCGGCGAGTTTAATTATAAAAAAAAAGTTTTGGCGCGCAAATGTTGCGTCCTGTCAACTTATGCACTGAACTAAACTCGCCCGTTTACACGAACGGCGAGTTTAGTTGCGGGTGACGGGAGACGCGCGGGATGGTAGCACTTCGCACTTAAGGGTACACTAGTCGCTTATTCTTCCATACAAACGTAGTCTGGCGATAACTCCACTGTTTGATGATGTACGTTCAAAATAAAAAATGATTTCAATTGGTCTCATCATTATCTAGCCCTGTATGGAAACAAAAAAGTAAAAAAAAGAGTATATTTAAAAGTTATAAGCGTCGAAAATTCCGAATTTCAACACTATTTTTAACACATCTTTGGGCGGAAATAAATACCATAAGAAGAACGAAAATTGCAAAACAGTTACCATACAGGGATAGATTAGTTGTTCAAAACTGCAAATAATTTTATTTTAAACAGATACATTCAATAGATTTTTCGTGACATCCAGACTACCAAAGGTCTGTTTATAAAATTTCGCGCGCCCGTTTTTGTTATAAAACATCTTGCCTTTCGCTACAAGTTATTTCCCCGATCAGTGGGACGGACGGAGGGGGGGACGCAGCGCGCACTCACACATACTACGTTAGCCGCTGCTATCTATTTATGGTTGTAATTATCTACATCTTTATTTAGAAAAATTGCTTCCTTTTTTTGTTCGTGTCCATTGCTGAAGCCGGTATGAATATAGCTGCTAAAATGTTCCCACAAGTTTGTTGAAGCACATTTAGTTAAAATTGAAAACAAGTTGGTACATAATAATGAACTTTCGATACAGATAGTACATTAGGTACTTAACTACTTTAATTTGCTAACTAACGAAAACATCTCATAGATAAGCACGATTATCGAAAATCTTAAAATTATCTATCAATTGAATTAGAATAGGTAATTTTTAGATTTTCGATAATCGTGCTTACGTATAGGAATCTCATATCCTAATATACCTATTGTTGAAATTAAAGGATTTTCTACTAGAAAAAGAAACGTGTATTTTTGGCTTTTTTGATCGATAGTAATATGTATAGGTATTTAAATCTTGTAATCTCGGAAGCTCGGAAGTCCGATTCGCACTTGGCAAAATATTTGTTTATATTTAACCTTACCTCAGACATACTCATATTTTTTTATATATAATTTACTATACTACTATATAAGCTACTACTAAAAAAATAGTAGCAGCTTTGCTATGGTATTATAGTACCTATATTTTGGATTAGATTTAATTTATTACAGAGCCGTGGTAGCTCAGTGGTTAACGCTCGCTGTAAATATAACAGAACGCGAGTAACCCGGGTTCGATCTCCGCCGGCACCAATGAAATTGTTAATTGCAATTTTAAGTGCTGATTTACCACGTGCTCGGCGGTGAAGGAAAACATCGTGAGGAAACCTGCATGTCTGAGGAATAAGAAAAAAATATTTCGAAGACATGTGAAGTTCCTGAACACGCATTTGGGCAGCGCGGCGGACACTTCCTTGCCCTAAACCTTCTCAGAAATGAGGGGAGGCCTGAGCCCAGCAGTGGGACGTATATAGGCTGTAACTTTACTTACACTTTACTTTTATTACAGAATAACCTACCTTAGATATTGGGTTATGAATACAGATAAGTACACATAGGATTTAGTTTCTAAGTTATACCTACATATTTATAGCCTTCGTTATGAATAGCATAAACAGGTCAAGCCCCGACCAAGTAACGAATTTCTTTCTACAATCGCGCCTTTTATTTGTTTGGACTGATCACCTGACTCGTTCAGTGATGCCATTCCCATACAGTGTTCAGTTTTCAACTAGCGTTATCTATCATAAAATAAATAAAAATTTTATTCATATTTCGCTAATTGTGTCTGTACTGTGAATTTGATTTACAATCGATCTCTAAATTGTAGTTTTCTTCTAATTACTTACCTTGCCTAGACGTGTTCTTTGGACTTCTGTAAGGAAGTCTATGCTGTTAGTATTCCGTTTATATACGTTACTATTTTAATAGACGTTTGTGCTTGTCCCTGCCTGTTGCAATGCCTGTTGTTAATAACTTTCTAAGTACTAAGAGAATATTTCAAACCGCTATTGAACACAAACAATCAATAAACAATTTACAAACTAACATTTTTTTTTTAATTTACCTATATAAAAGCCACACTCACATCAAAATCGCGCTGTCGAAAAAGCAGTTATCCTGACACTGGCTGACATATACTTCGGGGTCGGGGAGTTGCCTGCGGGCTATTATAGCTAACTAGCTATGGAAAGTAAATACCTATTTAGAATACATAGTACCTACAGTAATATTTGCATAACCTACAGTAAAATACAAAAACATACGGAAAACATAATTATGTTACACTTTTTTGTGTTTGTTTTGGAAATTGTTATATTTTTTTCAAAAAAAGTTTTTTATGTTACCGTTTTTAGTTTAGAGTTATGTCCCTTTAGTGGGTACAGGCGTGATATTATATTGTGTGATTGCGTAAAGAATGCATAGATAGGCGATAGCAGCAATCGCGGTTGATTTGCTGTCATTTATTGAAGTGCCCCCGATTTCTCCAAGATCCCATCATCAGATCCTGATCTGATCATCGTCGATTACCGTGGGATTATCTGGAAAATATATCCAAATCGGTTCAGGCATATTCGAGAAATCGGGGGACAGAACATACATAAACAAAAACCAACGAATTGAGAACCACCTCCTTTTTTCGAAGTCGGTTAAAAAGTAGGTAAAAACAAATCAATGAAATTATTATATAATAACAACATCTACTTAAGTTCACATAAGAACTTTCATCATAACAACTAAGCACATAAATTGGGTTCATAATAATTACGTTTCACACAGCAGATTCTAAGTTACAATAACACCAATTTACTTTCTCTCTCCTTTCTCTTTTTAAAATACGTTATCCCCGATTTTCTCCAGTATCGTGGAGGCAGTTTACAAATATAAATTGCATAAAAACAAACATCCAGACCCGGAACAACTATTTGTAGTCCATACAAAATATTTGTTCCGTGGGGGATTCGAACCCGCGGCACTCAGCGCAGCTACTCATTGCTAAGCTATTGCGGCACGAAGTTCACAATTGCCGTTTGAGTTTACGTTATTATTCTAAAATGAAACGCATAGGTACCTAGGTACGCGATGATGCCGTCGCGCATTGCGTCACTCAAGTGCGTATGTGTGTGCGCACTAGCTTCTTACTGCTCATCACAGCGTCTATCCCTTTCGCACGAGATGTCGGCTGAGATAGCATGCATTTTTGCCCCGCCCACCACTTAGTTCGTGCCATCGACTAGGGCAACCTTAACTCGCCGAAAAATAGCTCGGCCGGCTATCCCGTTCAACTTAATCGTTAACTTGCTACTTAACTCGTTTATTGCCGTTCAAACGAGGTTCAAACTTACTCGCCAGGTTCGCAAGTTGACTCGCTACTGTACTTCTCGAAGTGTAAATCGGTCTTAATGTTTTAAACTAAGTAGCCGGTGCATTGCTGACACAGAAGAAATAATTATCGAGATATAGTTTTAAATTTGTAAGGGTTATATTGTTTAATTAGGAATGATAATATATTCATTGAAATTGAATGATACGCGCGCCACCCGCTGTATTTTAACTGAACTATGCAAATAACTTTCGCGCAAGTTCAAGCAATAAGTTGTCAAAGTTTTAGCTCAATCTGATGAACTCAGACACCAAATAATAGTAATAAATAATAGTACTTGATGGTACTACAGCCGATCATAATGCCATTGTCAAACGTAATCTTCTCACATTGATTACCTCATAGTGGCGAAGAATAAAGGAATCCACTACCCTATATCATCCCGTGGGTGTTGTAAGAGGGGATAGAGAGAATTGAAACAGGAGATGGGCAGCATCATCTTCATTGGCAACTAAAGGTTATAAAAAGTGCGGTGGCCAACCTGCTTGTAAGTATGGCTGCAACGTGTGGCAACTATGGCAATTATACCCCTTATGACTGCCACCTTGGTCTAATGGTTGTAGTAGTGCAACTGCTGATCATGGGGTCCTGGGTTCGAATCCCAGGTCGGGCCAAAAAATCAATTATTGAGTTTTTTCGTCAAGAAATTCTCAGTAGCTGTCCGGAGTCAGGAATTTGGCGGTGTCTCACGTCCGTGCCTCGGATTCGGATAGCACGTAAAGCCATTGGTCCTGCACCTGATCTCTCTCCGGTCGTGTCGGTTTACCGTGCCATCGGATTACGAGAGTGAGGGAATAGAGAGTGCACCTGTGCTTGCGTATACACTTGGACACTATAATCCTGTCCTGCGCCGATGGCTAGTCTCCGTTGAGGCTGGCCGAAGTGAACGAAATTCGGTCTGAAGGACATATACACGTTTACGTTTGCCCTTATTTAGGGCAAACGTAAACGTGTATATAAACCAGGTATTAATCATGCAAATATCGCATGAATATTAAGACAATATCTGAATTCTTTATAAATCTTTTTAATGTCCTTTTCGTAAGTGATATTAAAACGAAGCGGTTATTTAACTACTTTTTGTTCGAACTAGACAATTAAAATAATGCTTATTGTCAATTGAGCAGCCATGAACATTATATAATGCAGTTCCCACAGGCAATAACTGCATTAAGTCGATTTTATGCGTCCATTATTAGTCAATGAATTATGCAATTACATAATATATCGACTGGTTCTATTATAAACAATCTTACACCTAGTAAAGAACTGTTCTAACAACGTATAACTATACAAACACCGATCTTTAACACACAGAGGGGTTTACTTACTGTGATTAAATCAGTTCGCTGATCGTCAGACTCAAGCAATTAGTTGATTTCACAATATAGTACTCTTGGGCGACCGAGCTTCACTAGGCTTTCGAATAAAATTATAATTAGGTACATATATGGTTGAAACCTTACTAGATAAACTTGGAAATTATAATTTTATTTAAATACAAAACGTCATCTAAAACTTTAGAGCAGGTCCTGAGAAACCAATTACGGATATCATACAAGAATATAGTCATTAAACAAGTTAGATACTACTTACGAATCACGGATATACTTGTTGAAAAGTCATAGGTCCTTTTAATTAATACCTAAACTAGCTGGTACCCGGCGCGTTGCTGCCGCAGAAGAAATATTCGTGGAAATATCGTCTAAAATTTGAAAGAGTTATATAGTTTAATTAGAAAAGATAATACATTCATTGAAGTTGAATGATATATAATTTTCAACTAAAATTGTCGGTACGATACGCGCCACCAAGTGTAAGTTAATAGTACTATGACTATAACCTTTGCGCAAGTGCAAGCAATAAGTTGACAAGATTTTACTTCAATCTGATAAAAGGTACGGCAGCGCGTAAAATACGAACAAAGAAACATTAATTTTTGTAATAGAGTATGAAATCGCACATATCACAGCAACTAACGGTAATGGTAAAGTTCTGAGAAGGCTCTCGTATTTCTTACAAACCAGTTTAGTATTTTCCGGATGCTATTACTTGCTTATATGTAACACACATATTACTTATATGTAACACATGATACTGACATAAATTTAATCTATTGCACTTACCTTCAAACATAATATGTACCGTAATTTTAACATATACATCGTTGATCTTCGTTGGTTGGTTGTCATAGTGCGACTGCTGATCATGAGGTCCTGGGTTCGAATCCCGGGTCGGGCCAAAATATCCATTATTGAGTTTTTTCGCCAAGAAATTCTCAGTAGCTGCCCGGAGTCAGGAAGTTAGTTGGCGGTGTCTCACTTCTGTGCCTCGGAAAGCATCATCTGCGCCTGATCTCTCTCCGGTCGTGTCGGTTTATCGTCCCATCGGATTATGAGAGTGAGGGAATAGAGAGTGCATCTTACTACATATAATCCTGTCCTGCGCCGATGGCTAGTCTTCGTTGAGGCAGGCCGCCGTGACCAACAATTCGGTCTGGAGGGACGTTATACACATATCTGTCTGTCTGTAACTTTGACATACTAGGTTTTTTGTATATTAATTGGTCTATAATATCAAAGTAAGCTTTTATTGAGCTGAGAGGGTTATTAGTATTTTAAAAATATTGTCTGTCTGTGCGCCTGTCGTATATCCTGGCTAATTTTCGGATGGCTGAACCACTTGTAATATAAGACAAATTTGACGAACAAATAGAGAGCAATTCCAGGCGTGATCTAGACTTTATTTTATCCGAAAAACATGGATATTTGTTTAAAAAAAAACAACCAAAAACCGATAAAATAAATCTTAATAGTACCACATTAATAGATCCAGGCGAAGCAAGTTTTATACGTGGTAGACCAACGCTGCAGCTATATTATTATAGTTGTAGCACGAATGGGTCGGCTCGACCGGGGCAGCACCACGCTCTCACAAAACACAATAAAAAATAATTCTTTTCACTAGAATCAACGCATTCCATCTTAGTCCTCAGGGGTGACAAAACATTTGCATTTTGATCCTTATGTGAGGATAAACGTGCATGTCTATGGGCGACAGCATCCACTAACAATCAGGTGGCCTGTGTACTCGTTTGTCACACAACGCTATTATAAAAAAGAAGTCGGATCGGGTCGCTAGAAAAATAATATAATTATTATTATAATAATATGTGTTCTGGAGTTGATCGAGTAAGTAGATGAGTTTGTATATTTGGGCTGCGTATTTAGCAGGAATGGGAGATATGATAAGGATATAGAACGACGAGTGAATGCGGGAAATAGAATAAATGGGGCCTTGCACTCTATTGTGAAGAGTCAAAATGTGTCGAAAAAGGCACGTATGGCAATTCACAACGCTGTGCTGTTCCCTACTTTAACGTATGGTAGTGACAGTTGGGTGTGGCAGAAGAAGCACGAGAGTAGAATAAACGCAGTAGAAATGCGGTCGTTAAGGAGTACGTTAGGGCTGAATCTGAATGACAGGGTAAGAAATTGTGAAATAAGAGAAGAGTGTGGTTTGCAAGATGATGTTGTGACCAGGATTAAGAAAGGAATGCTTCTGTGGTTTGGTCATGTGGAAAGAATGAATGAGGAAAGAGTGACAAAGAAAATTTATGGTTGCAGAAGTGAATGGCAGAGTCGGAAAGGGACGTCCTAGGCGAAAATTTATCGACCAAATTGGCGATTTATTGAAAACGGGCCAAATTAGGAGTACCCTTAACCGACGAGCATGTATGCGTAGGTGTATGGATGTGAAGGAGGCAAGAGAGGTATGTCAGGATCGTGCCAAATGGAAGTCTGTAGTCTCTGCCTACCCCTCTGGGTGACAGGCGTGAGTGTTTATGTATGTATGTATGTATGTGATCTAATGTATAATTTTTTGTATATGTGAAATGAGTGGAACTCTTTTATCCCATTAAGTCCATATTCCAGCTCATCCAATTTCTTGAGGCGTATTAATTTTATAGTATAGTACGTGAGGGTAATGTGACTTTCCTATAACTCAAAAACTACAGCCTTGTTTGATAGATTGCTCTGTCATACGATAGCTGTACAATTTTTACCATGGCTTTTCATCAGTCAATCATATTATAGTAAAATTAGTAAAATAGCGTCAAAAGGAATACTTTAACGACGCCATTTTGACAGTCGACATTATAGTAAATGTTTTAATCGGTTTTAGTATGATGTAGTGTAGTTTAAGTTGGTTTTTCGAAGTGTCCTAACCCTAATAATATTACCCTCACGTACTTACCAGTATTTTATTGTTCCAGGGAAAGATAAAACAACATTCAAGGCGTTCCGTATCTCCCTCAACGTTATGTTATCGCAAGAGACCTGCGGCTACCTGGTCGTGCTGATGTACGCCGGTTCCATATTCGAACAGGCATCCGAGTCCATCAGCCTCAAGCTCAGTCCTAACAAGCAGACCATTGTTGTTGGGGTCATACAACTGCTTGGTTCGATTGTCGCCAGTTGCATTGTGGAGAAAACTGGTAGAAAGGTAACACATACATTATAATTTTTATTTTATTTATTTATTATAAATATGTGTAGTGATGCATTTTACTTAACACTTTGTCACTATGCAACAATGAATACTGTTACGTTTATTTTTTTTTAAATGTTCGTTGACACCCACCGGCGATCAGAGTCGAAGTACTCTATCAGTCCCAAGACTTAGTGAGTTGGGTGCCTTTTTAGTAACCACTTACTAAATTTAAAACCAAATTCTCAAGGGTGACCACGCATCTGCATTTTGATTCTTAATCGAGGATATATGTAGAAATCTGTGGACCACAGCATCTACTTTCCATTATGTGAGCTGTGTACACGGTTGTCACCCTTAATCTATAAAAATGAGTATAGGCTGAAAGCCGCCCAGAAATCCTCTTAAACTGAACGCACATTTCTTAGCACCGTACGCGCCGTACGAGCATTTTAGAATTCGTTTTATGAAGTCAATCAATCATATGAAACCTCGCACATTACAGCCGCACCGTACAAGCCAAATTTCATAAAATGTGTGTCGTAACAAGACTTTTTATAACTTTTAATTAATAGGTAATTAATTATACATAATTAAAAAATGGCATTAATTATCATTCAAAAACCTAATTGTACCTGATTACTTAATTATCAATAAAAATACTTACTTCAAACACACAACAAGTCTCCTCTGGTTCAATTGGCCTTCTATATCTTGAGTTTTCCACAGAGAGATATGGTTTTAGTATATGTAACAATTCTTGAAATTTCTTGTATGTTAAATGCAAATATCTGAAAAAATCGTACATAATGTAATAAATCTTTAAATAAATATTATGAATAAAATGCCTTTTTAAATTAATATTATGAATCCAGAATCTTCTTTTTCTTCCAATTTATTTTCTCCTTCTGCCAATATGCAGGCTATTACAACAATTTTTCCATAGCGACCCGGCGATTAATGTCATTGTACCGTTTCACACCAGTGGTTGGAAAAACTGTAAAAGTTGTTCACAATACAAAAGAATTGCGTACGTGCAAATGTGCGAGGCCATCGAACTTGCGGCGCGTACGGTGCGACAAATGTGCGTTCAGCTTTAAGCGCGATATATTCCGCAAAATTGTTGTTACCTAATACTTAGTGATTATATAATTATTAAGACGTGGCAGCTCAGATGGTTAGCGCTCGCTGTAAATATCACAGTACACGAGCAACCCGGGTTCGATCCCCGCCGGCACCAATGAAATTGTTAATTGCAATTTTAAGTGCTGATTTACCACGTGCTCGGCGATGAAGAAAAGCATAGTGAGGAAACCTGCATGTCTGAGGAATAAGAAAAAATATTTCGAAGACATGTGAAGTTTGCCAACACGCATTGGGGTAGCGCGGCGGACACTTCTTTGCCCTACAACCCTCTCAGAAATGGGAGGAGGCCTGTGCTCAGCTGTGGATAAGGCTGTAACTTAACTTTTACTTTACTGTATAATTATTGTTCAGTGGCTCCTGGCCGGCACATCGTTCGCCACAGGGCTCTCCATGCTGTCCCTGGGCGCGTGGTTCTACATAACGTCGTGGTCGGTGTGGCTGCCGGGCTGGCTGCCCGTGCTCGCCATGTGCCTGTGCATTTTCGCTGATGCGGCCGGCTACCAGCCCGTACCCTACGTGATCACCTCCGAACTGTTTTCTTTTCAAGTGAGTCGCTTATATTTGTTCGCCTAGATATACTTATATCAAAAAAAATATTTATATATTAGAAGTATTGTGTAGTCACAGTGTAAGAATATCCACTACTCCATATTATCTCGTAGGTGATGTAAAAGGCGGCAGAGGGAAACAAATCACGACATGGGCAGCAGCGTCTTCCTAATAACGACTAAAATAAAAAAATACTACGGTTGCCAACCCGCTTGCCAAACGTGGCAACTATGGCAAATATCCCCCCCTATGAGGCAATCTATGGGGAAGCCTATGTTCAGCAATGGATTTAAATAGACTGTAAATGTAACGGCAACGGTGATGATGACAAGAACCCTCAAAGACATGTTACGATCGGAAAGGTATAGGGGAGCTAGTATAATCACAGGGTGAATGCCTCGTTGGTCAAGCGGTCCCGGTTTTCATGAAGTCCCGTGATCGAATCCCGGAGCATGCCAAATCTTATTATTGGATTTATTGATTTATTGATTGATAAAATATCATTGCCAAGGCTTCTACTCCGTTCACATGTTATACTCTATTTTTTTCCAAACGGTAAAAAGTCTTGTTAAAACATATTATTTAGAACGCTATTAGGTAAATTACTTTAACTTTCTCGTACTCTTTTCATTTCTATCTATTATATGATATTTTATATATAATATTCATTTATCTTTATTTGTATGTATTATTATATTTTTTATTAATATTTTGCGTGATAAGAGATAAATGTGGTATGCAAGATGACTTGATTGTGACCAGGATTAAGAAAGGAATGCTTCGGTGGTTTGGTCACGTAGAAAGAATGAATGAGGAAAGAGTGACAAAGCAAATTTATATGGCAGATGAGAACGGCCGAGTCGGGAAGGGACGCCCTAGAAAAAAGTTTATCGACCAAATTGGCGATATTTTGAAAATGGGCCACGTTAGAAGTACCCTTAACCGACGAGCATGAATGCGTAGATATATGGATGTAAAGGAGGCGAAAGAAGTATGTCAGGATCGTGCCAAATGGAAGTCCGTAGTCTCTGCCTACACCTCTGGGTGACAGGCGTGAGTGTTTATGTATGTATTAATATTTTGTATGCTCCCCCTCTATTTTAACTTATGTTTGCATCATTCGTCTACGCAAAGGTTGTCTGGAAGAAATCACTTTCAGAGTGATAAGACCGCCTGTTATACTTACTTTAATCCTATACCTTTAAACGAGCAATTGTTGTATATATATATAATCGGAATCTCGGAAACGGCTCCAACGATTTTCATAAAATTTAGTGTCCAGGGAGTTTCGGGGGAATAAATCGATCTAGCTAGGATTTATTTTTAGAAAATGTCCTTTTGTCCGTGTTTTCAGGCAATAAAAAAAACTGCTACAATATAAGAAGGTAAATTTTGACAGACTACTAATGATCGTAATAGCTCAGGTGGGATATCGGTCGGGCGTGATATCGGAATTCCGCGGTTCGCGTCCCGTCTTAAATAACCAGTTCAGTTTTTTCTATTATGTCAATGAGATCAAAAAATATTATTCATGTAATTTGGCTCGGTCATCCGGGTACTTTAGTTTTAACTGTACTTGATGTTTCTGTATTGTGGTGTACAAAAAAGAATAAATAAATAAATATATAAGTAAATAAATAAATAAAAAGGTCATCCAGTATATGAAATAGAAATGTATTAATAATGGCGTCAACTGCCCAATCATTTTGTATTTTTTAGCAACAATTAATTATTAACTATACGTGGTAGAGCCATACTGCAGTTATATTTGTAGTACCTATAGTTGTAGCACCAATGGGTCGGCTCGACCGGGGAAGGACCACGCTCTCACGGAATACCAGCGTAAAATAGTAGCTTAATGCGACTGTGTTTCGTATGGTGAGTGTAGAGAACCGACGACCCTTTTTACTGGAAACGGGGCATTCCGCCTAAGTCTTAGGTGGTAGGTAGGTCGAGGATAGATGTCTATGGGCCACAGCAACCACTTACCATCAGGTGGACTGCGTGCTCGTTTGTCATCCGATCCTATTAAAAAAAGATGATACTGCCCATCTCCCGTTTTAGTTTCCCACTGTCGCCTCTCACGGCACCCACGGGGTGAGGTGGAATACTTACCGCGACTATCTACACTTAACCTCAACTATCTTTCTATTTAATTATATAATACGCCTAGATAGTAACTATATATAAGAAGCCTATATCTGCGTTATTTAAAAACTAAAGGTATTGTTTTTTCCAGCACCGGGGTATGGTCACGTCTTTCGTCAGTAGCATCGACGCACTCAGTGACTTCCTTCAAACGAAAGCCTATGATCCACTCCTCAAGCTTCTGGGCATACACTGGGTTTTCATTATGTTTTCCGTGGTTTGCTTCTTCGGAACACTTTACACCATATTGTATGTACCGGAGACGAAAGACCGGACCGTAGAAGAAATACACGCGATTCTAGAAGATGGCAGAAAGAAAGAGAAAAGGAAAGGAAACGTAGAAAACGGCAAGGAAACTCAGTTATAATTTTCTTACATATTAAACATAGTTTTTATAACAAAATATACCTTTCACATATTTGGTCTGTGTTTACATTTAAGGTACCTTTCTTCTTTAATTAAATAGTTATTTGTCTCTTACTTTAAATATTCCCTAATTAGAACAAAAAATTAGAAGGTTACTTAAAAATAGTTATCAAATTTATATTATTTCTAAATAAAAATATTGTAATGTGAGTCAGGAATGTAAGTGATTATAATGCATTCACCATATTTTATTATAATTTACCATATTTATTATAATTTCAATCACCACATTTTATTTAATAAAATATAAGTGGCATTGTTTCCAGTAATTATGCAATAATAAATATTATGATATAATCTATACACAGGATATGTGCACTACATACTAGCATAAAATTAATTACCTTGTTTATGCAAAATATTGCGGTATAATACTCTCGTTTTTAAGGCAAGTATTTAAAGGAATGATTTTAAATTAACATTCAAGGTTATAAAAATATAAAATACTGATAATTAAAATACTAAGTAAGCGACTAGAAAGTCTTAAAACAGTGATTAATAAACACTAATTAACCTCTCTCCTTGTCCGAGACCGTTTTACAACTAGTCTCGCCTCGGACACAGAACTTCGTATGAATATGGTCAAACTCCACTTAAGGTAAGTTTGTGTAACCGTTCAATTATACGAAGCTTCTTGTCCGATACGGAGCAGCTGTAAAGCCGTCTGGGACAAGGAGTACCGTATAATTATGGTCGAACTTCACTTAAGGTAAATTCGTTTAACTATTTAATTATACGAAGCTCCTTGTCCGATACGGACCAGTTGTAAATCCGTCTCGGACAAGAAGCCTTATATAATTATGATCGAACTTCACTTGAGGTTAGTTCATTGAACTATTTAATTATACGAAGCTCCTTGTCCGATACGGACCAGTTATAAAACCATCTGGGACAAGGAGATTCGTATAATTATGGTCGAACTTCACTTCAATAGTTAATAATATTGTTTAATAGACCTTTTTTGTTTGAGTAACATCTAACAACATTATGTCTCGCATTATATTCAACATTTGGCTCATCTTTTATTTAATCTAAATTCTAAACTGTATATTACTCGAAATATCTTAATCACATACTAATAAATTACAGAATGATGTTATCAGCCGGTAACGAATTTCTTGTTCACTCGTTTAAAATGTATATTTTTTAGTATTACGAGTATAGGTATCATGATCTTAAGTACTTTTTAAGATAGTGATAAAAATATAGCTTTGTTTACTACATACAAAGATATACATTTTATTGAGATAACACCCTTTTACGTTAAGCATTTATGGTTTGTTCTTCGCGTCCTTTTAAGTTTTTTGTATTTATTCGGAACCACGGAAGTTTTTTTTTATTGATTACTTATTTTACCAGTCGTTTACGTGGTAAATCAGTAGGGTTAACCAAGTTGACTTTCTATAATGGTTATTCTTATGAGTGATTCAGTTTTATTACTTTTTTTTTTTGAATTAACGGTGATAAAATTCAATTTGGCTCACTCCCCTTCCCCTTATTTCTATGATTACTTTTAATGATTCTTTTTTCTTTATTGATCTGATTTTCTTTCTGGATTGATTTCCACCAATGAATCTGTTTGCTACGAATCATATTATTTAAGACGAGTGTTGAGCTCACTGTCTATGTTAGTTCTTCGTATAAAGGCTTTAAACTTAAAATCTCACTAAAATAAACTGATAAGATTGACAAAGCTCTATGGTCTAGGACTTATGCCTACCTTTGTTGGCGAATCCTAAGGGCGTTCGCTGCGTTATGAGCGACCATCGCACCTGCCACCGGATACAGGATCCCCGGCTAACTCAGCACCGCTAGCTCGTATAAAAGCGAGCGCTCATAACGCAGTAACACATGCGCATGTACAGTCGCACCGACATTATCGATTATCAATTAATTTATGATTGACAATCATTAAAAGGAATATATATTAACTTATAATTTTAAAATAAATCTTTTAATTTATCGTCTATATTAAAATATGCCAACCTAGTTTCCTTATATTGTGAATATGATTATTGTTAAGGATCGCGTAATAATCGGCCATAGCAAATGAATTTTGTAAAGACAGAAACGCTCGTTACTTTGCACTGATATTTTAATCGATTGTACGTTCACGAAGAGTTCAGAACACGCAGTAGCTCTGATTTATTTTTACGGGATTTAGCAGGATCACACGCCGGTTAACCGTCACGCGGATCATATATCGTGCATAGCACTGCTCTAGAATTTTAAAGAAATAAACATGTGCTGGTATATATGCGCGTGTACTGCTTAACGCAGCGCATGCCCTTATAGCAACATAATTTAAAAATGTAATAACTTATGTTACTATTTTAGATAATTATAGTTAAGTTGCAGTTAATGCTTGAGTTTAATATTTGCCTTTGGATGACTTTACAAATCAAAATAGACCATCTAATAATAAATATACTGGGTGACCTTTTTTACCGTCTGGAAAAAAATAGGGTGAATGATGTGAACAGAGTAGAAGCCTATGGCACTGATATTTTACATAAAATGAAAACAAACATTTAGAATTAAATAAATAAATAAATTAAAATCAATCGAAATTCAAATCATATCCACCCTACTTTACGAACGGCAATAAAACAATTTTAGTAGGAATCTTTAACCTTGTCACTTCGCAGGGTCACAGGCTCAAGGGCAAATGGCAAAGTAATTGTTCAAATTTTTTTTTCCAAACGTTTAATTCAAAAATTTTGTTTTTATGTTTTGTAAAATATCTGTTCCATAGGCTTCTACTCCGTTCACATGTTACACCCTATTTTTTTCAGACAGTAAAAAAGGTCATTCAGTATAAACCAAAATAATCACTTTTCTAGACTAGTTTTATAAGTGAGATCTTGTGGATCTACATTTTTCTGGACGGCGTACTATCTGTGAAGAGTATCCAGGGTCAGTTCAAACGGAGACATGACGCGACGCCACGCGGCGTGTACTTTTTAAGATAGTGATAAAAATATAGCTTTGTTTACTACATACAAAGATATACATTTTATTGAGATAATTCAAAATCGCCTCGCGGCGCGCCGTCGCGCTACGCTGCGCTGCGCACCGAGGTGTCTTTAGGCATGGCGCGACGCATCACGACATAGAGTGCAAGAGTGGTGCGTTGCCATCGACTTCACGATGCGCAAACCACTGGCCTCTTTAAGCATCGCCGCGTCGCGTCGCGTCCCTGTGTGAACTGACTCTAAATGTTAGTACTTAAGTGTGCAGATAACATCCTCTCTTATGTTCCTTAGTTTTAAAGAATATTTTACTATATATCAAATTCACCACAAGTTTGTTACGTGGCGTGCCTTATGACAATTAATTGTGATATTAATGACGAATTACTATGTATTGTTCAAATATGGGTATTATTAGCTTTGAGGCTTGTCTAAACGACAATAAATAATTTTTATTTATTCTATTTGCGATTTTATTTAGACCTTCTATAAATTTACAGTACTTGATTATTCTTATAAATATTAAATATTTACTTAAATGACATTTATGCAAATATAACAAATGGTATGGAAATAAAAGAATTAATTATTGCAAATAACGCTATGAAGTATTGTTTCTTGAAAATTAATTAATTCAATTCTATAAAATATGATTTCATGACCTCATAATCCATCACTCATAAAAGTTTTGTACGTGGTAGAGCCACACTGCAGCTACTGTGCTCGACCGGGGAAGGAGCACGCTTTCACAGAATACCTCTTACTTCAGTGTTAGGTTTGGTGAGTGTAGACAACAAGAGATCCCTTTCACTGAAAACAAGGCATTCCAAATTTGTCCTCAGGTGTGATAACGCCTCTGCATTTTGATTACTAATCGACGATAGATGTAAATGTTTACGGACCACAGCATTCACTTACCTTCAGGTCGACTATGTGCTCGTTTGTCACACTTATTCTATAAAAAAAATGGAAATAACATACAACATAATATGTATCATATAAATAAACTATAATATGTTATAAATGATATATCATAATATATTATAACATATAAATAAAAGCTTATAAGGTATTGTATATAATCTTCAAGATTTAAGGCATCTGCAACCATCCTTGTTGGAAGTCCATGAGTGGCAGTGCCCACGTGCCATCTCGTTTGGCGGATTGTTCTGCCAACTACACCACCCGTTGGTTTGTGGCTGTTGTGATTTCGTTGACAATGAGCTGACGAATCTTCCCGATTGACAAATCGACTCTAACCACGAGATATATGTTATTACTGTCTGATGTAGTAAAGGGTTATTCATTAATTACGTAAGGGTTCTGAGGGGTAGGGGGGGATATAAATCTCTTCCTTAATTAATGACTGGCGCCTTATGTCATACAAAAAGTTTGAAGCCTTTTCGGCTACTAGCTGCAACAAATATGTACAAGAAAATTATTTATTCGCATTTTTATTTGCTTTTCAAATATTATATGAAATGGTCAATTCCACAGTTGATAAGAAAAGGTTTTATGTTTGTATACCAAGTGATGTCGAAACTCAACAAATTTTATTCGAAGCCAACCTATTTGGTAAGCAAAAAAGACGTTAAAATGTTATGTAACGTTCCATAGAAAAGTTGTAAAGGTAAATAATAATCGAAAATGCGAAATTATATAATTGCAATTGTTATTACTGTATTCAATTTTAGTTTATACTTGGCCAATGACATCGATAACAAATCAAGTGGTGATACACCAGGCGGTAAGTTTGTGTTCCTTTCGCTAGGACAAGTTTTCAGTCTAGATCTATCGTAATTACTAAACGATTAGTTCGTCTAATCGAAAGGAGCTTGACCTAAATAACGTGTATACTTAAAGGAAATAAGGGCAATATGACTACAGAGTTGTAAATGCATAATATGTATAGCTCCTCTTTTTTATAAGATAATGGTGACAAACGAGCACACAGTCCATCTAATAGTAA